CTTATCAATGATAGTACACAACTATTTGTAAGTGAAATCCTGTATCAGTTGATATAATATAAATAAGTGTGTACTTGTTAAACTTGTCTAAATTAGAGACGAGTGTAAGAATTTCCTTAGTAACTACATGCCAATGGTATTTCCTACAAAATCCTTGCTCTAGCATATACAATATAGAGATTCGCATAATGTTTATATCATCTAACTGATGAAGTAAGTTACTAAACATATGCATAACATCGGCCATTCTCATTAAACGAGAAGGCAACACAATGAAAATACACATTTACTAAATTACGCCGAAGATAGAGTATGGTAAATAGTCCTTGAACCGTAAGTCAGTAATAAGGCAGAAAAATTTCCTGTCAAATCAAAGTTGATAGTCATGCACCAGAAATAGAAGCTCATGCAGGTCAACTAGAGCAAAAGTAGTATATTTCTTGCACATAAGATAATGACAGAGTAAATGGTGACATTCGAAAATTATCAGAATCTTAACATAAGCACTAAAACAAGATGTCTTAAACATAGTTGAAGTTTGTGGTGTGTGTTGCAAACGAGCCATGATTTCACACCCAAGTTCAAGCATGTAGGTTTTAGTCACAACTACTACGTATGTTCTGTCATTCTACAATCAAAAGAATTATATTAGACATTTGTTGCATGTTCCGGACTTAAGTATATGTTTCAGAGGACATTATGGAACATAATTACATATCAACTTTCCGGATCAACATATATATGTTCTGAAGGACATTTCGGATCAATATTCCGGAATTTCATTTTGGATTAGTTCTACGCATTTTCGGACGTGTTCTACATATTCCAGGCTTGATCTTCATATTCTATAGTTGTTCCAGATTATGATAACTATCGGGTCGGAACATAATTACATATCAACTTACCGGGTCGGATCCCTATACCCATTTACTCATTACGAAAAACGGGTCTGGAATGGCTCATTGCGAACCGAGTGGTCATTTTACAAAAGACTTTTTTGCGGTTAGTTTTTTTAAATACCATTAAAAGTGTTTAGATTACTCAAATTCTCTTTTTTTAAAAGATGTCTATATAAAATAAACCGTAATACTAATTAAGAAATAATAATAATAAATTTATTTTTTTATGTACAACCTGTGATTAGAAACCAATAAGATGACGTAATTTTAATATATGCCTATGTTATCATATGATTAAAATAAGTGTTTAACTTATTTTAATAAGTGTTATCATGTATGCCTATGTTATCATATGATTAAAATATGATTAAAATAAGTGTTATATATATGATAACTATAATTTTTTAAATCAACTAAGTAATCGTTATTTTTATAATGAGATAATGATTTAAAAGGGTAATATATGTTTTCATTTGTATATATTTGGTCAGTGAGTTTTTTTTGTCAATATTTGACAATTTAATTTTTTTTTGTCAATATTCAGTCCTTATAACTGACTACTACAGGTTAAGCTGAAAAAATGACTTAATAAGTTAATATATTTTTTAGTGTGTACACATTTAGTCATTATGATCGGTTTCTTTAGATTTTACCCACGACATCTTACATGGAACAATTATTAATGATGCATTCTCATGCATGACTCGTTCTTCACTTATGTCAGTAACCTAATTCACAAATCAGTCAAATAATGTTAGGACCCTACTTTTCTCCAAATAGTACATGTCTTTATCTTCGTTTTTATCTATCTCCATAAAATACAACGAGATTTATTTGTTTTGGAATCGCAAATTCGAGTTGGAAGGAAGCAATTACAAAGAATATCGTTGTCTGCTATGAAAATATATGAAACTTTTTGTCAGTGTGTTCTTTTGTTTTGAAAATGCAAATTCTTTTAACATCTTCCTTAATTCTTTTTGTCTTGGAAATGCAAATTTGAGTTAGAAGGAAACAATCAATATTAAGTCATTTTCTCGGCTTAACCTTGAGTAGCCGATTATAAGGACTGAATGTCGATAAAAAAAACAAATTAAATGGTAAAAAAAAAGAACTCAATAACCATATATATATATATATATATATATATATATATATATATTATATATATATATATATATATATATATATATATATATATATATATATATATATATATATTACTCTTTTAAATCATTATCTATTTTATAATTAATGGCAAATATATACATTAAAGCTAATATATGTTAATATTACATTTTATTTTACGCATCGCATAAATATTAGACTTGTCATAAAAGATAACAAAAAAAACAATCTTGTAAGGCGTTATCAATTAAATTAACTCTAGAATTAATATATATATATATATATATATATATTATATATATATATATATATATATATATATATATATATATATATATATATATATATATATATATATCAAAGTTAGAAATAGTGAACATGCAATTTTTTTTTGTTTGTTTGTTAATGTTGCTCCTTATTTTTTTAATCATTTTTACACATTTGGTCCTTGCAATAATTTTTTTTTTTTATATTTTTAGGAACCATTTAATATTCAAAGTTTGACCACAAAACTTTAAGGAATTGACAATTTTGATCATTTTTCTAAAAATTTACTAATTTCAATCCCTTTAATTCTTTAGTCATTTTGACACTTTTGATCCTTACAGTCTAAGATTTTATATTTTTTCATAAAAAACACAAAAAATGGTCCGATGCAAAGTCCGGGTTTGTCATCACATTTAATTTTTTTTTTTATGTTTTCACATCCCTTGTACTTTCTGCCATCTGTCATTTTCTTCTTTTAGAATATTTTTTATATATTGGTCCGCATATTTATTTTTTTGTTTTTTTTCCTGTCTCTATCTATCCGTCTTCGTCTGTCAAAATTAAAGGTCGAATTATCCTACCTGCATTTTTTAACAAAACGATACTCAAATCAGACGCACACAACCCATGCGGAGCATTAGATACATATCTAGTTATAAATTATATAGGTTAAAATGGATATAAATGAAAAGTTGAAATATTATAATTTTAATTGAATTCATGTTTGGTATGCCCAATATTAAGATTTTAAATGCATTTATTTTTACGAGTCTTTGTCGAAAAAATAAAAATCGTATATTTGCCAATAAATAAATAAAATAAAACTCTCCTTCACACCATCTAAATGCAAGCCTATTATCTATTTTTATAAGTCTTTTCTTATGGCCAAAAAAAAAAAAAAAAAAAAAAAAAAAAAAACTTCCCATCACACCATCTAAATGAAAGCCTATTATTAGCGCTAACTGCTAACTGATTTACATTACATATGCATGTTTCCAACTTTCCATGGAATACTTCTAAGGCTTATACAATCTCCAATCCATTTTTTAAAAAAATCGAATAAAAAATTAAGATAAATAGGGTTTCATTTAATATATATATTCCATTCTTGTAGCTTATATAAATTATCAAACATACCCTTTATATTAATTTGGTTTTAACAAATATATAATATATATTTTCTCATTATAAAAATATTAAATAAATAAGATTATATTTATAACATTTAATTATAAGCTTTTGTAAATACATTATCATATTTTAATATTTCAATATGTAATTACATTCTAATATGAATTTGATAAACAAAATGAAACTTTATATTTATAATTAATTAATATAATTTAATTTATAAAATAATATTATAAGTATTAACTATTATATTTAAATTAAAATTAGTAGATAAAAAAACCGTAAATGTATAAATATATAAAAAAAATGGACTAAAATCGACAACTCAGAGTTCATCCTCATTTATGGTGCTCTACGATTCATTTCACCCAAAATGGGAGAATAAATGAGGTAGTGTTTGAAAGGAATGGAGAAAGAAATGGGGGAAATAATGAAAAATAAGAGTGGGTTGGAGATCCTCTTAACATGCGAATATGTCCACGGCATAAGTTACACCAAACTTTTCAGGAGTAGGGTTGTTATATATATATATATATATATATATATATATATATATATATATATATATATATATATATATATATATGTCTCGAATTATTTTTTTCTATATATTTCTATTGATTTTCTAGGTTTTAGTGTTTCCAAAAGTTTATGTATTTTCTGCTTTTATATATATATATATATATATACATATATATATATATATATATATATATATATATATATATTCAAAAAATAAAACACTAAATAAATGGAAATTATACAAACATTACTTTAATATTATTATTCTATTATTAATTTTGAACATTCATAATATTATAATAATTATAAAGCTAATATTAACATATGATTATTCATATATTTATTGTTAAATAACGATATAAAGTTGTATATACAAAATTATATAAGAATAGCAACATAATGAAAGTGTTTTTACACTTTCATTTTATATAGAGTTTTTATTTAAACATTCTTTTATATATATATATATATATATATATATATATATATATATATATATATATATATATATATATAATATATATATAAGAACATGATAAAATTGTATGTGAATAAAAGAGTTTAATCACATTTGATTAATACATAATTATAAAAATTATTAAAAAAATCGTATTTTTATAGAAAAAACATTATATCAATATTAATATTAATTTATAGAAAATTTAAAATTTTAATATGTTTAATAAAAATTGCAATACAAAATGAATGGTCAAAATTCGTTCCCACATTATCAATTTCATAATTTTTCTTGTTTGAAATGAGTTCTCTCTCTCTCTCTCTCTCTCTCTTTCTATATATATATATATATATATATATATATATATATATATATATATATATATATATATATATATATATATCAGTAAGTAAACGTTTTTTAGGTTGATTTGTGTCTAATCATACATTACATACCTCTTATAGCTTATTAACAAAAATTCATTCTCCATGGCTCTGCATAGAGCCTCAACATTATTACAGTACTATGTGCTTATGTTACTTACAATCATGTCGATAGTGAATATATATAGCAACAAAAATTATTGTGGGAACGATAGAATGTTAGCAATGGCACAACAACAACCAACAACAGAAAATGAAGTTGGTGGTGTAATTGGAACAGGGGAAAGGGCTCAACAAGTTATGCAATGCTTCACAGGATGTGGCCAAGAAATCATAGGGTGCGGTGTTACATGCACCCTTGGATCATCTCAAAGTATAGAACCTTGTTTTGTTGATTGTGGTCTCTCTACCTTTGTGTGTATGAATAGTTGTGTCCAACCCCCTGCTCCCCCATCTGAGGCCGATTCTAACCCCAGTCCTAGCCCTGACCCCATCTTGGTTCACTAATGACCGATCTAATTATTAGCTAGCTAGTTGTACTAGCACATACCACCACTCTCTTTTCGATAAACTTCGATGTAGTTTTTTTAATATAACTATTCTTATCCTATCATATGAAGAATGAAAGACACATGTTCCCATTTAATTGTAGAAATGATCTTATTATTATAATAATCTCTTACTTTTAGCAATGTAGTATATATAATTTACTTATCGGGTTACTTATTTATGGTTTATTACATGCAAAACATAGTTTGATTTTATGTTGAACTTATTAGCGTCTTAATGACAATTTACTGAAAAAGAATTCCACAATATAGTAGGTGTGAGCATCCGATGTGTTAGTCTTTTTGGGTTATTCAGTTTGGTGATTGTAACCAAACCAATTGATAACAAAACCGCATTAACTTTGACTTATTCAGACTTGGTTTGAGCGAGTTTGGTTTGGTCACCCCAAATAAAAAAAAAAACATTGTATTTTTTATTTTTGACAATTTATGACACACTTAGGTGCTGTTTGTTTTTTCTGAGGTAAAATGTCTGCAGTCTGCGGACCACATCTGTAGACCTCTGCAGTAGAAGAGGTGGACCAAACGTCTGCAGTCTGAAAAAAGAAGACTGTTTGTTTTTTTAACATCTGCGGGCTATTAAAATAAACTGAAATCTAAATAAACTGATTTTTTAAAACTTCAAAGCGAATTTTTTATATATTTTTACGACTTTATTATAAATATATAACGAATCTAGATCAACTTTTATGTATTATTATATAAAAAATAAAAATAAAAATGGTATTAATTCATATACATATTTGATAAAAACCAACAACTTTGATTGTAAAGTTATAACTAAACATTATAATTAGTGATCAAAGAATTTGATACATAAATAGATGGAAATAAACTTCGATTTTTTCAAATAAATCTATTAAAAACGTACGATAAATATTTTCTCGAGAAATTGATGATACTCTATTAAATAAAGTTTTACAAAATTTTGGCAAAAAAATATAAGAATATATTATGATTTTTTTTCATATTTATATAAACAACTTCAACGACTATTATTATAATAAATTTTTATTTATAAATTTGTTAAAAATATCATGTTTGTATCGTCAAATGTTTTTTTTTAAGTTTTGTAATTTTTTTTTTCATATTGTTTATCATTAATAAAGTTGGAAAAAATATAAATTAGAAAAAAACTTAAAAAAATAAAGATATATATGTTTTTTTAAGCTAGAAGATGTCTGAAGATGTTAGAAGACTCTGGTCCATATCTGCGCCAAGAAGAGGGCGCGCAGACATTTTTAGGTCTGCAGTCTTCAAAAAAACAAACAGTCTACGAAGACTAATGTCTGCGCGGCGCAGACAGAAGACATCTCGCAGATCTGCAGACAAAAAACAAACACTACCTTACTTTTTTTACAAACGGAAAACTAATATACTTTTTATCTACTCTTAATATCAGATATGTCTCATATGAGATTTGAACTCACAACCTTAAAAATGAATGTTACATATCAGGCCAAAGATATTTTGATATATATATATATATATAATATATATATATATATATATATATTATATTATATATATATATATATATATATATATATGAAAATGTATAAAACATTTATTTAATTAGTAACTTATAACCACATATTAGAAAAACAGGAAATAAATAACTAACTAAAAATTAGAAAGTGATTCGTAAACAATAATTTTTTTTATACACAACAATTTATGGTTATCCGAGTTTGTAAAATACAATATTTTAAAGTAAGAATTATTATGTATGAAAAACAACTAGTACGGATCAGCTCTCATCAAAACTACCAATGATATTCATGCCTTGTGGGTGACAGACACGAGGATAGAGGGTTGTTAAATTCGTTATGTTTTAGGCCGTCTTATATATATATTCTAATAAATGAATAGTTTTAATCTTATTGTGACAAGTATCACTCTAATAAAAATCCTCGTTAATATTATTTTATGTGTCATGTAAATATATTAGACAACTATTTCAAAATTCAAATTTATATTTTCTAATTATATGTTTAATTTGAAGTTATAATAACTTTAAAAATTTGATATATCTTAATTAATAATTTATTTAAAATCATTTATTTAAAACAATTGATTAATAATTATATATTTTTATTATGAAAATTTAATTAATTTTATAACCGTGGTTTCCACGGGTTTTATATATATATATATATATATATATATATATATATATATATATATATATATATATATATATATATATATATACACCCATGTATTTATATATGACTACGAGAAGTCATTCGGACGTATAATAAAATCATTTGCAATTCGATTTATCATACAAATGTTTACGGAAGAACTATAAAGATTACATCATATTAAGTGGACCATATATCTATCAAATATAAATTTGATTTTAAACATTTTAAAAATTGGATTTTTGTGGGATAAGTCTCTGAAGTTAACTTTCATTTGTTTGTGGCTAGACGGGGTGTGTTTTGATCCTAATCCAAACCGAACCCATAAAAATTATAAGGGTTTGGATTATGATTTGTGATTCATTTAGCTGTTGACGACCCTTACCCTTTAACCCTTTTATTAAAAGGGTTGGGTATGGATCACTGCCGATCCGATCCGTTTATACTCCGTCCCGTGTATATTTTAATAATATAAATTTATTATTTATATTATATATTTAAGATTTTTATTTGTTATGTTGTTAATTAGCATATACCATTTACACGATAAGAATGAGTCTTGGAATCAAGGAGACATTCTCGAGGACGTATATTCTCGGCTTTGTAGACTTAATTCTTTATATTCAAAATTTCTGATTCCTTCCGATCGTTGTTTTGTTAAATTGATTTCTAATCGAGATCTACGTGAATTCGTCTTCACCATTGCAATCGACTCCAATGATCGACATTACTAGTGATCAACATTACATAATAAGGTTCATATTCTATTTGACTGAAATCGACTACTTTTCTAATTTTCTGAAATCCAGTTTGAGGTTTCTAACTGAAATCGATGTTTCCCTTTCTAATTGAAATTGAGTTTTGAGGTTTAAATCGACTTTACTTAATCTCTTTCACATTCTATCCGTCGATGTATTGTACAACAATGCCTTTGATGTTGAAATTATTTGAAAAAAAAACATAAAAAAAGTTTCTAGATTGAAATCGTTGTTGCCCTTTCTTTCATTGTTATATGTTTCTAATTGAAGTTAGGTTCATATTGGATTTGATCCGATTTACCCTACTGGTTATTGCTTGTTTATGGAATTAGATCAAATACATGATTTATTATTACTGTGAATATGTGATCACCATATTGCTTATTGTTTACTGTTTCTAATATATTTATATGATTTATTATTGCTTTATCAGTTTTAATAAAAGATGGATGATAATGATATGCAAACAAATGGTACTCAGAATGTCGTAAACATAGATGCTAAAACTCAACTGAATGTTGAAGACAAAGATTAGAGTTTTGCCAAGAAAAGAAAATTAACATCTGATGTGTGGGAAGCCTTTGATAAAATAAAGAAGAAAGATGGGAGTGATGGTGTCAAATGCAAGCATTGTCATAAGGTACCTGTTGTTGGCTCTAAATCTTGAACAACCCACTTGAGAAATCATTTAAATAGATGCAATAGCAAAAACAAAACTGGTATTGCTCAATATATGATATCCACCAAGAAAAGTATTTCTAATTATTCAATTTTAATTGAAAATTTCAAGTTCAATGAAGAGAAAAGTAGGATGGATTTTGCAAAAATGTTGATGAAGCATAACTATCCATTTAACATGCGTGAAAATGAGTACTTTGAGCATTTTGTAAATGGTCTTCAACTAAAGTTTCATCTTCATTGTAGAAATACCGTAAAGTCTGATATACTTCGTGTTCACAAATTTGAAAAAGAGAAACTATATACATACCTTGAAACATTACCTGGCAAGGTTTCGCTTACGACTGATATTTGGACAACTGATCATCAAAATATAGGATACATTTGTTTAACATCTCACTTTATTGATGAGGATTGGATCTTAACTAACAAAATTCTTGCTTATAGATGTATAGATTATCCTCATAATGCAGAGACTCTTTTTAGGCACATCATTGACTGCATACTAGATGGAAGCTTAAAGGAAAGTTGTTCTCCATGGTGCTAGATAATGCTAGTGTCAATTACGCAATGGTGAGGACCTTGAGAGGTTGGCTTTGTGATAGGTCTACAATCCCCTAGAATGGTAAATTATTTCATGTTCGTTGTAGTGCTCATATTCTTAATTTGGTTGTTCAAGATGGTTTAAAAGTTATTGGTGAGTTCATTCACAAGGTAACAGAAACCATAAAATATCTTAAAAATTCTCCATTTGCAACACAAAAGTTTAATAATGCGAAATCTCATTACAAGATTAAGGATAAAAAAAAGTAAAAATGGATTGCCGTACTAGATGGAATTCTACTTTTCCGATGATTAAAAGTGCTTTGGAGATGAAAGATGTATTTTGGTGTTTAGCACAAACAGATGATAATTATAAATTCCATCCAACTAAAGAGGAGTGGGAAGTTGCCCAAGTTATAAGTGATTTCTTAGAGCACTTTTGTAAAGCTACAAATCAGTTTTCTGGTTCTTATTTGTAACGACCCAATTTTTACGTCCGAAAATTTCATTTTTAAGGTATTACTTTAGAAAACATTAATAAATAAAAACATTGTTTGTTCACACCATAACACATCGCAGCCATGTTCTAAAAAGTCAAACCATACATCCCATCAAAATATCAGAGTACAATCCCAGTAAATCTCATAAATGCGGAAACCGAAGAGTGTGTGTATGACGTGCCGCTACCGCGCCGGCTCCTTCCCCTTCGATGTAGAGGTACCTGAAAACAAAACTGTAAATGTAAGCACAAAGCTTAGTGAGTTCCCCCAACGTACCGCATACCATACAAACACATAACATACGTACTGCCA